TAAAATATCAATCATGTAAAATAAAAGATAGATCATAGGAAGTAGAGAGATAGACCTTTTTCAAATGGGAAGGGAATCAAGAGATGGAAGAGGAAGTGAGGGAAAACGGACTTTAAAAATGAATTGAAATGTGTTATGCACATGTATCACTTTTCCACAAGGAATGCAATCATTACATAATGCAAACATGTACTAATTAAAAAACTGAGAAAATTAACTTAATTTTGAGCACCAGGGAAGGCTCAAGCATCTCCCTGACCACTGCCTTGATGGGTCAGTGATGGTGCCCTTTGTGAAAGACAGAAATCCCAAAGAAAGAACAGGCTTAGTCTTGTACAAAATAAATTCATGTTCCCTTTATGAAGTGATATGTCCTGTAAGTGATAAATATAGAAATCCTGATAGAAAGCTGAGCTACAACTACAATATATGGAAATCATAAGCAGATAACAGGGAGTGTGTGAGAGCACAGAAAAGAGGGTTCGGGATTCGAGATCTAATTCAGGGTAATTAAGACGGGGATGTGGTTCAACACTGAAGAGATAGTTTCTATGTCACTACTGTGATTCAGTGGATGAGAACATTGGTCTACGCTGTAGGAAATCATTTGCAGTGTGATATTGATTCACTGTTCATCAGTTTGTGCTTCAGTTTTGTTACCTATAAAATATGCATAATGATACTCATATAATAAGTATTTTAAGACCTAAATAACAAGTATTCTAAAATCTAAATTACATAAGCTATATTAAGACCTCAGAAATTACCTCATAATAAATCCTCAAAGTTATATATTTCACTTGAACGCCGAAGCTTGTTGAAAACTGGATTCATCATCAGCCCAGCCCCCAAATTATTTTTTTCATGTATCTTCTATCTTTACCAAGCCAAAAGCCAGATTTACTACTCTCTCTTCACTCCATTGCCACATCTAATCTCAACCCAGTCCTGCATTCCTGAAAATCAGTCCGTTTCATATCCCCTCTCCCACTGTCTCCACTGGATCCACCCTGAAGTCTGGTCCAGATCACTGAAAACCTCCTTCTGGCTGTCTAACACAGTGCTTTGAGTGAGTTCTTCTGAAAGGCAAATTTATTATTACTGTCACTAAAACTCATTTTGTTTTTGCAGAAAGCCAAAGTTTATAGCAAGAAAACTCATTCATATTATCAAGAGATGATATATTTTAATTTAACCTTTTAGTCTCTTTAAAAAGTGTATTCCAGCCACACAAATTTCCTTTCTTTCAGGTCCCATCTCTTCTCTTCATCCTCCAACTTGACCCTCCTGGGTTCCACACGCCCTTTAAGACTCAGCTCTTCTCCTTTAAGAAGCCTTCCTGAGACTAGAAAAGTGGTCCTCCTCTGTGCTCACGTAGCTCACCATAGTCATAGTCTTTGATCTCCTTCACTAGATTATGTATTTCCTAAAACAAAGATATGTCTTACTTTTTATGTTGTTCTTATGTGTAGAATGACCAATAGTATGTTTTAAGTGGTTAATATCTATCTCTCTGGATGAATAAATTAAAAATCCACTACAAAGACATATCTTTTAGGCAGTTGTATAAATAATATTATTTTAGTCTTTTATCTGGATACCTTTAAAGCTAGAGTTTTTAGGTGTATGACCTTGAGTAAGTTAAATTTCTCTATGGTTAATTTCTTTGTGTATAAAATTAGGATAATTATGGTACCTACCTCATATTTTTATTATAAGGGTTATAAGAACCAATACATATACATCATTTAAGACTACTGCCTTGACACTAGTTAAGAGCTCTCAATGATTATTAACTGCTTTTGTCATTGCTACTGTTTCATTACTATTTACCTACAGTGTTTTATTTCTACTGTCCCATGGGATAGTTGGTGTTTGTATTTGACATATGTCTTGATCCATGGGCTTAAAACAAATTTCACAAGAACATGAGTTAAAGAACTGAAGAAATTCAAAAGCAGAGATCAAAAAGAAAAAAAGCTTTGGGTCCCCTGATCTTCCTCTTGCCCCAAAGACATGTGTCCTAGGGCACAGACTGCACAGGACATAGAGGGTAAATGTTCTAGGCAAGGGAGCCCACTCTCTTGTAACTCCTTTTTCTTACAAAAAAAACCATGAGAGCAACTTTGTCAAGAGGAAATAATGTCAAGCAGCCTGGATTTGAACGTTAACTATTTGCAAAGTTGTTTGGGGAAGTCTACTCTTCATCAGTGGGCACCAGCATAAAACAGCGATTCCTCTGGAAAGGGAGAAGATGCTAATAAAAATCTGTGTTAAATCAAATTCCTTTTCCTTCAGGAAGTGCAAGCCCTCAGTTTCAACTTGGTTATTCAGGCAAACCAGTGCAAGATTAGGAGAATGTTTTTAGATAGTGCTGGTTGATGTACCTTTTTTAAAAATTAATATTTCTTCTAGAGGGGATTTCAAATACAGTCATGCTTGAGCTTTGAATCCATTTTGAGTAGCCTGATACACCAAGATTTTTTTTAAAAAAATCTGTTCCACTATCAAGACAAATAAAAAATTTCTCCTAATAACTTTTTTTAGTCAGTAACATTTATTAATGTGTCAGGCACTGTAGTAAGTGATGAAAATGCAGAATCAAGAGGCATCATTTCTTCTTTCCAGCATGCTTAACCTTGAAGGATAGACAAATGAAGAAATAGCAATGCAAAGCAATAGATGCAATACAAATTTACATAAGGTGTAGAAGCATTCAGAAATGACTATTAAGTTGAATAGTATATTTTACAAACTATGTAGTATGCTTTCAGTTTACCCAGAATATTAAACTTAAGATCCAAACAAAAACATTGAAGTCCCATTAAATATGCTATGACAAAAGGTAACATAGTAATCAGTGTGCAAATTTTATTGGGGAACAAAAAAGAGAGGAAGCTATTATACCATAAAAATAGAAAAGTTTTCCAGGGAATGACCAGAGGGAATATTTTTAAGTTAAAGAAACTAGGTGTAAATTCCAGTTCTGCCACAATGTACCAGCCATGTGAATCTAGGCAACTTTCCTAACCTCTTTGAGTATAAATTTTTCATATATGAAACAGAAATAGTAATTATCATGCTGTATAATAATAGCCAGTAAATGAAGAATAGATGAAGTACTTAACACATGGTAAATATTCCATAAAGACAGCTACTTTTCCTCATAATATACTCTCACTTGTCAGCTGTTTTATTTCATGTACTTACAACTGGGTAACTACGGCAAATTGACTATCAAGCCCTCCTAGAGTGGAACTTCAGGGGTTTTCTCTAATGTAAGTCTGTGCTATTTTTTCTTCATTACTTTTCTAAACTACCCACAGTGGTTTTTGTATTTTACAAGTGTTTATACACTCTCTAGTTTTTATCAAATACACAGCAAAATGTCTTAAAAATCAGGTCTAGTTGGTCGCAAAAGTGGAAAAAGATAAGAAAAATATTTTTACTTTTTTTTTTTTCCATTACCAGGAATCAAACTCACAACCTTGTGCTTGCCAGGTAGGCACTGTGCTACTGAGCTAAATCCCCAGCCCCGATAAGAAAAATATTAATGTCCTTTCAGGTTAAAGTATTCTGTTCACAGAGACACTGATGGGATTATGAGAAATCCCCTAATACTGAAACACAAGTTAAAACTTAGCAGTTAAAATGCTTCTAAGACATTTTACTGCTTCTTTTTTACAAATTGCCTGTAACGTAAATTAGTCATGTCACATGGTGTCAATTTAAAAAGGAAATTAAAATAAGATGTCAGTGTTTTTAAAAAAATGTTTAGATGGTGCAAAAGTAGAATTCTTATGTGTTTTAACATTTGCAGACTTTACACCTTGTTGGTGTGGCTAGGGTGAGCTTAAATTGAGCCTGCATGTAAATATTAACTTGTCAGCTTTCCCATCTCAAAAATAGTGAGAATAAATCCTTTCCTCTGTCTTTCACAGAGGTGGCATAAAAATAAAGGTTTCAATAAAATTTAATCATGAGTTCAAGATCAAAATTGCATTTTTTAGGAAATTTCCAGGGATGAGGAAGTCATACATTAAAGAGATAATTGTTTTGCCTGATCTCATACGTGGTTTCCTAAGTACCAAGAAAAATACTTGTTCTCAAAAAATATTTGTGACTCTTAACTTTGCTTGCTTATACAGATTATTTTCCCTAGAGTTGTGCTGTCTCATAGAGCAGCAAATGCAGATATTTAATTTTAATTTTAATGAATTAAAATGAATCAAAATTCAGTCCCTCAGTCTTTCTAGCTACATTCAAAGTACTCAGTGGCCACTATGACTAGTTACTGACATGTTACACAGCAAGAACTTTGCAAGTTCTGAAAGTCACCAAAAGAGACTCCAACTGAATGTTCCTGGTGTTTTGTAGCTTTAGCCATTGTCAGTGTGGCTAACAGCATTCACTGACCTTACAAGCTATGGCAAGATGACTTCACAGTCAGGTCGGTGTCAGATCATGAGAAAGTTTAATAGTGAGAGAATTAAATGAAGGGTAAAGAAGAAGGAATGGTTAAAAAAGAATACATATTGATATTAACATAAAAAGCATAAACTATGATCCATAAAATCACATTTTAGCAGAATTTTACTTAATTTTCACTTAAAACATTTGTTGCATGGTATTTGCACTAAATGGAGCAATCTCATGCTGACTTTCTGATGTTATGATTGGGTTTTTCAGATGGTTCTAGCTATCAGTTATCACACAAAAGCTGATAGTGATAAAAGCTTAACTACCTTCTGTACACCAGTAGCACATGTTTAAAACATATTTTCCTCTCATAGGAGTCAGACAGTGCTGTGGAGCTACTTGCAATTCTCCTTTAGAATCTTGGTGTTTATACTTGCTTGGCCCTTGTTTATTTATCACAAGTAGTTTAAATGTTTACCAATATTTTGGCTTCTACTTCTTGTGTATAAAGAAATTATAACTTAACATGTGTATTATTGTCCCTAAAAGTAAAAGCATAATCTGTGTATGTTTTCATTTAGGTTATTCTGTCCATTGAAGAAGGTTACAGACTTCCAGCTCCCATGGGCTGCCCAGCATCTCTACACCAACTGATGCTCCACTGCTGGCAGAAGGAGAGAAATCACAGACCAAAATTTACTGACATTGTCAGCTTCCTTGACAAACTGATCCGCAATCCCAGTGCCCTTCACACCCTGGTAGAGGATATCCTCGTGTAAGATGCATAATTTTGATTTTTTCTCTTGACAAACATACTTTCTTTCAAGCTACTAAGGAGAATAACAGGAAGGGGAAGAGTTTGCCTTGATAACTTGCTAGTTATTGACCTTGTATAAACTATATTTTATTTGTCATCTGAATAGATAAATTATTAACATTAAAGAAAAATGTGGATATTTTGTCACAAGCAAACAGCTTTCCCTTCTCTTTTCTCTGTATCTAATCCTTGTGAATTACTTTGTTTATATTATTTTCCTGTATGGGTCTTTGCTGTTTATATATCATTCTTTACTGGTCCTTCCTTACCTTTGTAAGTAGGATTTATGCTTGTCCATGCAGCCACTCTAATTTTCTTGTTTACTCTATGTTCTGTCCCTCTGTTCAAAATGGCAAGGGAGAGAGGGGTCCAATAATTTGTGAATCAGCCAGGAGCAAGGACTTTTCCTGCTGATATGATCACACCTGGCTGTTGCTGCTTTCCGTTCCTAAAGCCAGAAAAGGATGGCTAACAAGAAAATGAAGGCACTCATGTACCATGTTATAAGTTAGAGTTGAGAAGATCTATTCACTTCTCTCTACAAAGCAATTATAAGAAAAGTCCAATTAAAAAAACTGTCATCTATGTCTATAAATATTATGTTGTCAATGTCATTAACTTGAAAATACATCTACTTTTAGGCCAAATTGAACTTACAAATAACCAAAGCATTTCAAAAGTTTTCAGAAGACAGTCAGGGAATATACAGACACTCAACTTTAGATTACTAGTTCAAACCAGTGCAGGGTTTCAGTGACGATAAAAACAAGGCTCTTCAAGGACTATTTGAAACAGGCCTCAGTTCACAGCAGAACATGTAAGAGTTCACCTCTAAATCACTAATTGGCAGCCTCAGTAAAGTGAAGCCAAGCATGAAATAGCTAGAGATTAAACTATTACTCTAGCCCATCTTCCCCAAAGCAGTTCAATATAGCACACAGTGAAGGAGTAAGGGTGGGGAGGACAGCACTCTGGAGTTCATCATTAAAGGATGGATGCCTTTTAGGGATTTGGGCGAGGAAACGAGGTGGTCACATTTGCATTTCTGAAAGGTCGCTTTAGGGTTGATTGAGGAAGACTGTGAGGCGAAACAAGGAGCAAGACTGAAAACAGACCCAAGTGAACATTTTCAACAAGCCAGGCTAGAGAAGGCGAAGGCCTACTTTGTACAGAGGAAATAAGCCTGAAGTCAGAAGACAAGCGAATGAACTAATTATTAGTCAGAAACCAATGTGTTTTGGTCACTGAATATAAAGAAAGAAAAGAAGGAAGGAAGGAGGGGAGGGAGGGAGAGGAAAAAATCAAGGATATTTGTCACATCTCTTACTTCAACAAGCCACTGATGGTATGATCAGTAAAAGAAAAAGAGGAAGAAATTTTTGGAGTAGAAATAATATCTTTTGGAGCATGCTAAGTCAGCAGTGTTTGTGAGACAGCCAAGTGGAAATATCTAGTAGGCAGTTATAAGCTGAACTTGGGTGAAAGATCAGGGCTTTGAAAGTAGATTTGAATATCGTTAGCATGTAGTGTATGCTTTAAGTGTGGTTGAGATAAACTGAAAAATATAAAGAATGCAATTAAACAGAGGAAAACAATGCAGTCCTCTGGAACACCAAGATTTAAGACATAAGCAGAAAAAGTCAATGAAAGAAGGCTAAGAATAGAGTCACATCAGTCACAAAGGAAATGCAGAGAGCCATGCCATAAAGTCTAAGAGGAAAGATTTCAAAGAGCATGATGTCCAAAGCTTGATAATTTCAATAAAAGAGAAAGTAAGGTATGTCTACTGAATTTAGCAATGAGATATTCAGATGTTCATGGGAAACTTTTGCAAGAGCATTTTCAATAAAGTTGTGTCAGATGCATTACAATAACTGAGGGATGAATATGAAGTCAGAGAGAAAAATATGTAGTTCTGATTTTTCTTTCCAGAAACTTGCCTGTGATGGGAAAGGAAAGTAGTTAGGAGAAACGTTTCTTGGTTTTTACTTTCATATATTTTATTGAAGAAGCTTAGACATGCTTAGGGAGTGAGTTGGCAGTCATGGAAGAGGACAGTGTAATCCAGACCTCTTGTGGTATAGTTAACTGACATCAGAGCCAGCACCTATCAACAAAGCTGTCTAACTATGCTATAACTATACAGGCAGGCAGGTAAAAAGTCTTGTTTTGAAATAAAAGCACATTAAACAAGGTCTTGTCTGCACTTTCAAGATTATGAATGATTATCACATTTGGAAAATATCAGTGAAGGATCTAAGATGGGAAAATGCCAAAAAACCAAAAGGTTCCAAACAGAGGTCAAGTCCTGATGAACGGCTGTGTCTGAGGGCCTGAGATGAGGATTTAATGAGGTGTGTAGGGGTGCAGTGGACCAGGCTGGTGTTCGGCAGGTGCTGTGATAACCCCAACACAAGCAGCCCTAGAGTTGGGTGATTTTTAAAAAGTTGACAACATGATTCAATTCTAACCTCCAATATCTATGAAACCAAATGGAAGTTTTTGTGACTGATATGCTGTCCTTGTTTCTGACAAAGAAGTATGTGCTGCTACTTTTGCTTTTAATATATTTTTCTTTGAGAAACAAAGTGAACCAGAGTTCTAAGAATTTCATGCCTCAGCCTTATCAGCACTCTTACTTTCAGAGCAGCCTGAATGGTTCCTATTGCCACCCTGGTACCCTCAACATCACCTACCCACTTTGTCCCTGATCTCAGAAAACTAAGACTGTTTAGAAAGAAGAGACATGATGAATTAAAGGATAATATTGGCTAAAAACACAGAAATGAGAAAAATATGGCAAGAATATAGTTCCAGAATTACATCTTCAGGCATTTCTGTAGATTGAAATTTTCTGGTGTTGGCAAATAAGATGCTTTCCCTTGCTGTGGCAGACATTACTAATCATAACATTGTTTCCTACTGAGCTCAAACATGATCTCAGTATCATTTTCATGAGGACATTTTCATAGCCACTTCCAATGTCTTTATCATCTGATATAGAATCTACTTTCTGATATTGGATTATTTCCTCACAAAATAGTCTTTTTTTTAGTTCAGTGATCTATTATGCTGGCTGTAGGGATCTTATGCAGGTACTCATAAGAGACTTTTTAAAGTATTATTCCTGCTCTGCATCTAATTTTCCAAATGTTCAAACACATCTAAATATTTCAGTTCACTTTTAAAACTTAGTTTTCATTCTTTTATGAGTTTACCAGTTATCTACCATATGCAAATTAATCACAACTATTTTATTTCTGTTTTTTGGTACCAGGGATCAAACTCAGGGCCTTACGTTTGTCAGGCAGGCACTGTGCTGTTGAGCTATGTTCCCAGCCCTAATCACAACTATCTTAAAAACTGAAGATTTGTTAAAAATAAAAGTCTGACAAAAATAATTCATGCTCCCAATTTAATATTGCAGAGAGTCAGACTGTTAGGAGAACACATACTGTTTCCAATCACAAAGTTTATCCATAAGATATATGGTAGCTTTCTATACATTTAAGATTTTATATTATTGAGTTGATTTATGCTTTAATTTCTAATATCAAAATTATTTCATAATTTAACTTCTATTCAAGTTGAATTTCAGACTTAATTGCAAAGAATGTAATGTTTCATATCTAAGTAAACTCTTCAATGGTTAGATAGGTAGTGTATGTTTTAGGAGAGTATTATATTAATTAATTGAATAGTATGAAGCTTGGATTACAAGATGAGAAGCTCAGATAAAAGCAGTACGACTGAGTAAAGGTAAATATTGCCATTGCGACCATAGGAGTGGTTATAATTCCATGTGAACCTTTAAAAGTGTGCTACCTGACTCTATCTATAACTACCTCTGTTTCTACCTGAAACCTAGAAAGACAGTAGAAACATTTTCAAAACATAAGGAATATGTTGAGCAGAATACTCATTAATAGTTTGACCAGTATATAAGTAAGCATTGACTAGTTTTGACTTTTTGCAAATGAAATTAAGCTGGGCATGATGGCACACACCTGTAATCGCAGCACTTAGGAGGATGAGGCAGGAAATTCCGTGAGTTTGAGGCCAGCCTGGGCTACAAAGAGAGTTCAAAGCAGCCCAAATTGCATAGTGAAACCCTGTCTCAAAAAGACAATAACTAAATAAATAAATACAAAAATAAAATTAAATGAAAATAGATCATTCACCATAAATCAGGCATTATGTCATGTATTTTCTGTAGAGAAATTAAAAATCAAGTCTAAATGATCACTTATTTAATGTCTTCCTGTAATGCTTTCAGCATTGTACTAGGGCCCACCAAAAAGTAAAAATATGTGATACCATATTCCTACCATTATAGAATTTTCATTTACTCCTATAAAAAAAATTCTTCTAGCTTATGGATTCTTTCCCAAGGAAAAATTCAACTAAAGCAAAAAGATATATGCTTTAAGACTACACAATCATTTACAATAAGAGAATGTATATAGCAGTCTGGGGAACTAGAGAATTAACAAATTATTAAGCATTGACATATTATGTACTCATTTGAATATGAAAATTTGAAAATATAAAATAAATGTGACATAAAGATAATATAGAAATAAAGGTAATATACAATAAAAGCAATATCTGTGTAGTTCTAACTACATAAATAGAAGAGTCAATAAAAAGGTTACATTAACAGTAAGGGGAGAAAAACCTTTTAACCATGTGATGATTTTACATGAAAACAATTTTACTTCAGTAGAGCTTCTTGAAAACATAATCTCTCAAATAATTTTAATAGATTTACTACTAGATCATATTTACATGATCAATATAAAACATGGGAAACTTTTGAATGTGAAAAACACCTTACTTTTAAAGGGTAATATTGATATTTACTAATATCCTATTGAGGAACCTTCTAAATTAAAAGTCTATTCCTACTGTAATCAAAGTTGTCATCAGAATAAAAACTTCTTGGATCTATTAGAACTACTTGTTTAAAAAAAGAACTATTTGTTTTTACATGTTTAAATGCATTGAAAGTATGCATTTATTGGCTTTAAAATGTAACATTGCCTGTTATACCTATACTGCAGCCTTTTCCTCTAGTCTAAATTGAACATAATTTAGACCTGAAATTTCCTAATTCTAGCCCCTCCTCATTCTTCTAAGGAAGAATTAGACCCTTGTCCTTTTGTTCTACAATAAGTGCTGTGTGATATGTGAGCTGCTGGCCTTCCCGTAGATATTTCTCAGGTGGGCAGCACCCACTAATCACCAAATAACAGAAATCTCTACGTGCTCAGCAAAAAAGCAGACTGAATTTAGCATTGTACATGTTCGGTAAGAAAGGGCATTTATTGTTTATTAGGTAATGTTCCAGAGAATTCATGTGAGCATGATGAAACTCAACCCAGGAAGCCAGAAAATAGCAGTGTTTTTCAACTTCATTATAAGATAAGGTGAAAGAAAAGTTATTGCGCAGTGGCTGCGAACAACAACGCGGGGACACGGACCTTACTAAATCAGCTGCCAGTGCAGTCATATAAAAGCCAAAGAGTAACTAGGCTACGAAAGACATGTAGAGAGAAAAGGAATTATTGTGCAAAAACATTTTGAAAGCAAATAGTGGATGTTTTCCAACAGGGAAAGAAGCCATTTCAGTCATTTAGTTTACATAGTGTCCTTCCATTTCTTTTTTATGTAAAGAATAAGAAATTAGCAAGTTACAGTTACACTTGTGACAGTTGAAGAGTTATTCAGCTTCATCTCAGAAGAAAGAAGTAGAAGTTGTTTGACTGTGTCTCTGCATTGAGAACATCACAAGAGTATGAAGAAATGGATTAAACACATTCTTTTTTTTTTTTTTTTTTTTTTGGTTTTTCTCTGGTACCGGGAACTGAACTCACGACCTTGCTCTTGCCAGGCAGGCGCTTTGCCGCTGAGCTAAACCCCCAGGCCCACATTCTTTTTTTTTTTTTGGTTTTTTTCTCCGGTATCGGGAACCAAACTCACGACCTTGCGCTTGCCAGGCAGACGCTTTTTGCCGCTGAGCTAAATCCCCAGCCCAAAACACATTCTTGAATTTTGTTCAGGTTCAGCAAATTTTTGCCAACTAATTAAAGATATGAGATCCCATTATTTTAAATCAGAACATTCAGTTTTCTGACACATATGGTTTTATTTATCTTAATAATTAATAAGGATCCTCTAATCATTTTGATATTGAAACTTAGTAAAGTTCAGCAGTGCTTCCAAAATATATTCTATAGGCCAGTCAAATAATTAAAAAAATAATAATCCAGAAGCTGTTCTGAATTCTTTTAAATATTCAAAAATATAGGTTAGAGAAGTGAACACTCTTTAAAATGCTATAATTTTAAAGAAACTGTTTAATCCTGTTGGCCATGGAGACCTTTCTTATTTAGCATTACAATATGACTTTTTAAATTTAATAATATTTATTAACATAAACACCTGTAAGAAACTTTGAAGAAGTATAGCAAATTCAAGTATTTGTTGGTAGGTGCTATAATAACTTTTCAGTGTTTGTGCATGAGGAATCTTTGTTTCCAGTCAAATCATGAATTATTCTGATATTAACTAGGATGAAATAGCCCAGAGACAAATAGCATTACAATTTATAGAATAAGAGAAAAAATATGGCTTAGCCTCCAAAATACAAAACATGGTACTAGAACTGAGTAGTGATTCCAAAAAAAAGACAGAAGCCACTATGAAGAGTAACTAAACTCAATATAAAGTAATCTAACCACAAGATATTTCCACAAATTCCAACTATGTATAAATAACAACCAAAAAACCTAAATTTCTCCATCATCCCTGATCACCCTTACTTCCATTTTTAACTGGACCCTTGTTTAGAAAAAAGGAGGTCAGTGTAGGAAAGGAAAAGCAAAGAAAAAAGTTGTAGGCCACTGGTAAGGATTCTGTCCTGAATTCCCAGGAAGCCTCCTTTCAGAGTCTTTAAGAGTTATATCATGTACCGCTTGTTCTAAAAGACTCAGGTTCTCTATGCATAAAGAATGTTTAAGGGTAATTTTGGTTGCTAGGGATTTTCAGTTTTCACCTCAAGCAGTAGTCTTAAAACTAACTTCCAATTTCATATATTTTTACCATAATTAGGGTTTATTTATATAGAATAATGTGCCCTTTTGCTTTAAAGTGAAGGAATTCATACTTCATATAGATTGATCGTGTGTTTTATAAATTAGCAGTCTCAAGTTACAGTGAAAATAGTTAAAATATAATGAAATATTTCAAATATTAGTATTTAAAACCATTATTCTAGATAAGACTATATGGATTCTCGTTCTTTTATGAAAGTTTGACTAACCTCAATATTCTGATAAAAATTGAATTATTCACTTCTAACAAGAACACATTTCTTTATTTTATAAAATATTGATTTGACTCAAAGTCTAAATATTATTACTGCTTTACTAGTTAATATAAGCTCAAGGTCTGAGAATATTTTAAATGATAGATTTATTACCCTAACATTAATAATAATATATCTATCACTGGATAGGCTAAATAATATATCTGCAGTACTACTATAAAGCTCTATTACTGCCAAATATTTTTAAAAACAGACAAAATGTTTTTGATATTAATTTTCATATATTTCTATAAGGAGAATACATTGCCAAAATGGCTAAAATATTTGACTGTGAGTTTTATCAATAATTTCTCAAATTAATTCTCTTTTATTTCTTCTGTTCTTTAGTTCTTATATGTAAAACTATTATAAATATATATATATCATGTGAATGAGTACATGTATGTATATAAACACATCTGTCCAAAATAATACCTTTATATTATTTGAATGTTAAAACTACAAAAATATACCAAACAGAAACACCTTTGGCATCAGATCTTAGAAACTAAAATAAGAATAGTGTATCAATGCTGCATTCCTTCTTGTTTGTTTGCTTGGTTAATGCACTTATTTTGCTTTTTTGGAACCTTATTAATGTGTGTACTTTGGGATACAATGTGCTGTACTTGGATGTATGTAAATTTTAATTCATGCAACTGAGTTCTGTGACAGCAGAAATTACCTTTTTAATAAGATATAAATTCTTGTTGAATGTTTCAAAACAAATAAGTGGAGTCTTTATCAATGAATTTTCCACAAATAGGAGAACTATCACAGCAAATATAGAAAGGTCAGAGAACATGGATTCAGTGACAGGGCAGAAATGGTAAGAGTGAAGAGCTTAGGGCTGGCTACTCTGTTTGTAGGGACAGGGGGTGGGCTATTCCTCAAGTTTCAAAATGTAGTTTTACACAAGAGAAAAAAATAAAAAAGAAAATAGTAAGGTGTGAGTTTTCTCAAGATCTATCAAGCATAAGATCAAATAATGGCAAAAAGCAGGAAAAAAAACAGAGTAAATGACTGATTTGATACATAGAAGGGGTTTTTGAAGTTGCTATCTGAATAAGATGGAAAATTGGAGATTTCTTTAACTGGAGGATTAAAAACATTAGAAGTAACAACACTGTGAGAGGAAAAAGAAAGTTGAGTAATTCTTGCTTTATCTGGATTTTAAAGTTTCTCTCCTTTCTCTCTCTCTCTCTCTCTCTCTCTCTCTCTCTCTCTCTCTCTCTCTCTCTGTCCCTCTCTCATTGTAGAATGCCCGAGTCGCCTGGTGAAGTTTCTGAATATCCTTTGTTTGTCACAGTTGGTGACTGGCTGGATTCTATAAAGATGGGACAATATAAGAATAATTTCATGGCAGCAGGGTTTACAACTTTTGACCTGATTTCAAGAATGAGCATTGAGTAAGTTGTACTAACATTATCTTTTTCTTTTTTTAATTAATTTTATTGACACACTTTTGACACATATAATGGTCACATTCATCATAGGAAATTTGTACCTGTACATGATATATCTTAATTCCTTTTTTCCCATTCCCCTCCCTACCCTTCAATGCTTCTTCACTTCTCCATTTACAAAACTTTGTTTTTATGACATTAATCCCCTTCTTTTATTTTTATCCCTATTCCTTTCCTTCCCTTCTCCCTGCCCCCTTCCTTGTTTCCCTTCCCATTTGAACATTTTCTTCCTACTTCCCAGTATCTATCACCCATTTTAGTTCTTATTTAGTTTTTGGTTCTTTCACACAAGAGAAACAATGTGTTATTTAAATGTGTGTTCAATTTCTTTCATGTAAGAGTATGGTCTTAAAGGTGCATCCATTTACTTAGAAATGTCTCAAATTTATCCTTCTTTATGGCAGAAATATTCCATACTTCATATGCTCCATTGCATACAAAAAACACATTTTCTTTATCCATTCATCCATTGATAGGCATTTCTTGTTTTCAAGATTTAGATATTATACATTATGCTGCTATAAACATGGATGTGCATGTATCACCATGGTATGATTCTTTTAATTCTTTCAGGAAGATACCTAGAAGGGGACTAGCTAGGTCAAATGGAAGCTCTAGTTTTAGATTTTTGAAGAATATCCACATTGATTTCCATAATGGTTACACTACTACACTCCCACCAGCAGTGGAGAAGGGTTCCTTTTTTCCTACAGCCCCACCAGCATTTGTTACTGGTTGATTTCTTGATAATAGCCATTCTTGCTGGGGTGAGATGGAATATTAGTGTTGTGTTAATTTGCATCTCTCAAATGACCAGCGATATTGAACATTTTTATATATTCATTTGCTGTTTGTACTTCTTCATCTGAGAAATGTCTATTCATTTCAGATGCCCATTTTTTGGATGGAGTCTTTAAATTTTCAGGGTCTGATTTTTTTAGTTCTTTATATATTCTAAATATGAGTCCTTTGAAGAACAGCTGGTGAAACATTTTTCTCAATTTGTGTGCTGTCTCTTCACTCTGTCAGTGGTTTCTTTTGATGTAGAAAAGCTTTTTAACACAATGTGATCCCAGTTGTTGATTCATTGTAATACTTCCTGTATATCAGAGTTTTGTTCATAGTCTTTTCCTACCCATGTCTACAAGAGTTTTACCTATTTCGTTTTCCAGAAGATTATTTGTTTTAATATTTAGCACTTTGATCCATTTTTATTTTAGTTTGATGTATAGTGAGAGATATGGGTCTAGGTTTAAGCATTGGCATGTGGGAAGTCAGTTTTTCTAGCACCAGTTGTTTTCTAGCTCTCTTTCTTCCAGTGAAGATGTTTGACCCCTTTGTCAAAGATAAAGTAGCAGGGTGTGTCTGGAGTTATTTCTGCATCTTCCATTCTGTTCCATTGATCCTCAAATCTGTTTTGGGTTTTTTCCAGTACCATACTGTTTTATCATGATAGCTTTGTAGTATAATTCCAAGTTGGAGATTTTGATCCCCTCTGCCTTGCCTTTGTAGCTAAGAATTTCTTTTGCTAGTCTAGATCTTTTCTGGTTCTATATCAATTTTAGGATTGTTTTCTCTAGTTCTGAAATGTATGCTATTAGTATTTTATTTGGGATTACATTAAATCTGTATAGCAGTTTTGGAATTTTCACTATATTTGTTGTTCCTACCCAAGAATAATGGATACCCTTCCATTTTCTGATATCATTTTCAATTCATCTTTCCATTTTCTGATATCTGCTTCACTCTCCTTTAGCAGAGTACTATAGTTTTCAAGGTAAAGGTCTTTTACTTTGATTGATTGATTCCTAAGCATTTCATTGTTCTTAATGTATTGTGAAGGATGCTGTTTCCCTAATTTTTCTGTCAGTGAATTTGTTATTTATCTGTAGGAATACTATTGATTTTTGAGTGATGAATTTGTATCCTGCTATACTACTGAATTTAGTTATTAAATCTAAGAGTGTTTTGGTGGAGGTTTTGGAGTCTTTTATGTAGAGGACCATGTCATTCATTATATTATTATTCATAATATTATTATTAATATTATATTATTATAATATTATTCCTTCCCTGTCCTTGTTCCTTTTATCTCTTTCATTTGTCTAATTGCTCTGGCTAACTTGCTCTAGAACTATTTTTCATTGCAGTGGTTATAGTGGACATCCTTACCTTGTCCCTGATTTTAGAGTGGAAGATTTCAGTTTTTAATCATTTAGTATGATGTTGGCTATTGGTTTGTCATAGACGGCTTTTATCAGATTGAGATAAAGACATTGTATTTGAATTTTCTGTAAGATTTTTTTTAAATCACAAATGGGTATTGGACTTTGTCAAATGCTTTTCCTGCATCTATTGAGATGATCATGTAATTTTTGTCCTGGTTCTATTAATGTGGTATATTACATGTTTTGATTTGCATATGTTGAACCATACCTGCATCCCTGCAATAAATCCTACTTGGTCATGTAGTATAATCTTCTTCATGATTTGCTGCATTCTGTTTGCAAGTATCTTATTGAGGATTTTTGCTCCTATGTTCATTAAGGAGATTGGCATACAGTTCTCTTTTATTGGTTGGAGCCCTCTCTGGTTTTGGTATCAGGGTAGTTTGGCCTTCCAGGAATGAGTTTGGGAGTATTGCTTCCTTTTCAATTTCCCTAAGGAATTTGGGTTTTTTTGTTTTGTTTTTTTCTCTTTTTTTTGGTTTTTTTGTTTGTTTGTTTGTTTTGTTTTGTTTTGGTTTGGTTTGGTTTTTCTCCGGTACCGGTACCGGGAAACAAACTCACGACCTTGCACTTCCCAGGCAGGCGCTTTTGCCGCTGAGCTAAATCCCCAGCCCCTCCCTAAGGAATTTGAAGAGCAATTGCAGCAGCTCGTCTCTAATTTCATATAGAAGTCAGCAGTGAGTCTGTCAGGACATGGGCTTCAATTTCTTTGACTGATATATATCTACTTCATTCAGCTTTGGTAATTTGTATGTATCTAGGAATCTGTGTATTTCTTGAGTTTTCCATTTTACTAGAGTACAGGCTTTCAAAGTAGGTAGTAGTTATCTTTAGGATTTTTGCAGGATCCATTGTGACTTGCCTTTTCATTCCTAATTGCATGGATTTAAGCCTTTCCTTTCCTTTTATTATAAGGTTGGCTAAGGGTTTGTTAATTTTATTTAAACTTTCAAAGAACCAACTCTTTGATTCATTATTTATATCATTTTCTTAGTCTCAGTTGGGTTAATTTCTGCTTTGATATTTATAATTTCCTTCCTTGTATGTGCTTTGTATTTAACTTGCTCTTCTTTTTCTAGAAACTTGAGGTTCAATATTAGGTTGTTTGAGCTCATTCTGTTTTTCTGATGTGAGAATTCATCTCCACAAATATCCCTCATAAGACTCTTTCTTTGTGTCCCATAAGTCTGGTATGTCATATTGGTATTGTTACCATTTAATTGTAGAAACTGTCTAATTTCTTCTTTAATAATATTCTGTTTGGGGAATTATAAATTCAAATACTATAACAAGAACACTTTTCCTGAGGCTAGTTTGTCATTTCCAAAATTTCTGACTATTGTTCTAGTGGAAGTTGGACATTACATTTCTAAACTATTATTCTTTGAAAGAAAATAGTTAATTCAATAACTTTTAAAAATATTTTAAATGCTTTCTAAAATGTATATTACTCTTGTTCATATTATAGACTTTATATCAACATAGTTTTCTCTGATAAATTATCTATTACTCATATGAACAAATATTTCATAACCAATGCCTATTATCTTCATCAAATTAGTACAATATTATGTCACGTTAGAGCTCCTCCTGTGGAATGTAATGGTCAGTCATTTCCCTTGTTTCAAAGAACACCCATTGCAGACAGGCATTAGAAATGCTCATCATGTGGGTTAAAAGACTAAATACTAAAACGATTATATTAAGCCATATTGAAGTTATCATTATTTTAAGGCAGTAGTGGCAATTTCATATGGTTCAAAATAATAATTTCTTAGCTTACTGAAATACTATGGGAACTCAGAGTCTACATTATATTTCCTGCTTTGCATTCTCACCGTTTTGATATCACTGTTGCAAATTTACCTAACTACATATCTAAATTATATACAGCCTTTGGGCCTACAAAATATCTAACATAAATACCTGCATATGAAATTTGTTATTTCATTAAATTTGAGATTAATGTGGCATATTTTGTGGAGCCAGAGAGAAGAAACATGTAAACAATTACCATTCATTGTTATCTATTCTTAACAAGCTACCAAAATTTTGGCAAATGTGACACTGTGCATATTTAACATGTATAACATTCATTTTTTCTCTCTCATATTTACCACATCTAAATGTTTTTCCGCTCCCCTCTCTCTCTCAGTGACATTAGGAGAATTGGAGTTATACTCATTGGACACCAGAGACGAATAGTCAGCAGCATACAGACTTTACGTTTACATATGATGCACATACAGGAGAAAGGATTTCACGTATGAAAGTACTATAAACACCTGTGTTTTGTGCCTCAGCATTTCTAAAATGAAAGATATCCTCTCTAATGCCCTCTCTTCTGACTCTGTAAACATCTTCACAAACCAGTCTCTTGTTCAGACTACGGCCGCACACCTTATGTTTATGCTTCCAACCTGGATTTTGAAACCATGCTACTACACAGATCCTCTGAATAGACTGCAAATAAAACCCTGGCCCAGTGCAGATTATTGCTACACAACAATAAATAACTCAGCATGGATGTGTAACATGGTATAGAGGTATTTGGGAAGTGTTCATGAACTTAACCTGAAGGAATTTATCCAGATGTGGCATTCTTAATAATGTATGTAAAGTTTGATGGTAAATGAGATAGAAATAGTGGGACTTTCATGTTTTGTGATCAAGTCGCTGCCAAACTGACATGGATATTTATTTTTAGATAGTTTTATTCAAATCTCTCTGTTGTATTGTTGCTTTATTTTAAAACTTTGCATACTGGTACCTAATGTTAGAATGATTTACAAAAATGAACAGGATTCCATGTAATGCATTCTTGTCAGGTGTGACTCTGGGGAGAAGGGAGGTAATGGGGAGGGTGAGGGAGAAAAATACTGTGATTTTAAATCTTCTAAGACTGGATTTGTCTATTTTTAAATTAACCTTCTAATGTCCTACACATTTCACAGTAGCTATTACTTTAGAGGCTTTTCCTGTCTGGTTTTTTTTTTTTTTACTATTTTGTATTTCTCTACCATGTTATGAAACCACCCTTGGAAAAACAGAGTGTGTCCATTACTCTAAAGGTTTTCATAGAATGAAGCACAGAATAAACCCACTATTGTTCCCTTCATCCATTTTCACACATTTAAAACGTGATTATGAAAACACTGAGGAAATCAACTGATCTTGTAGAATTGCTTTGAATAAAATATCTAAGGTTATAGCCTTAGATGTAGGGTGAAGTGATTAATTAATTTAAGCAAAATTTTATGATATCTATATGGTAGCCCAAGGAAAAGAAACACATCTGTCTAGCTGATATCAGTATATTTTGCAAGTTTAAGAATTCTTATGTTTTGATTGCAAAAATAAGTTGTATGAACATGCTGAGCTGTTTTCCAAAGCTTCTAAGAAATAAGTATGAATACTCCAGGATATAAACAGATCTTACAATTCAGTATGTGTGTGCATGTGTGTATATGTGTGTGAGTGTGTGTGTGTGTGTGTGTGTGTGTGTGTGTGTACATATGTTAATGTGGCCCAATAATGCAGTTACATAAAAATGTGAATGCAACTAAGATACGTTGTTGTCATAATCTTCTCAGAGGCTTGTAACAAAACCGGAACTATATTTTTCAGTGAATTAAGCTCAGTCAGCTTGTCAAAATAGTGGTGTCTTACGAACAAAATCATTTGTAAAATCAGCTGCTCCTTGCAATATACAAAAAATTGACTGCCATGTTAGGTAGAAAAGTAAGGAGAATGTGTTAAGGGAGACAAAATTGCAGTGCAGGTTGTCTATAGATGTTAATCATTTGTTTTTTACTTAATCTCAGAGGCAAAGGTGCCCTATCTACATTCTTAAATTCCTACCTAAATTGCAATTTCTATTGAAAATAGTGTTCTTTTTATCTAATGGCCCTTGTTTTCTTTCTTTTTTTTCTTATGTTAAGAATTGGATAACTGTCCATTTTACCAGATCCTTCCAAATATACTATATCATGATGACTTATCTCCTGTTATTTTTCCTAGCACCACTTAATTTTTCTTGTTTCAAAAAATGAATAGAGCTAGAAAGAAGTTTTGAGAGTATTCCTTAAGTATACTATAAAAGAAAAAAAGGAGACATCATTCACCTTTTAAGTAAGTGTGTCAGAAACAGCTAGCAACATTTCTGTAGCCATCAACCTGCATGGTTATGCACCACTCATAAACTATATGCAATTTGCTTGACATATTTACCCAAATCTGTATACATTTAAAGTAAATATAAAATTTCCATATTTATCTGTCTTTAAATATATATTAAATAAAAACAGATGTAAGCAAATTAAATTTATTAATCATATATATTTATTTTTATAAAACAACAAAAAGGTATGTAGAAAACAAGAGATAGAATAGTATTGTCTTCCATAGGACTCTGTCAGCAACATCTGTAAACGTTGATGAAATAAATTGTACTAAAATATTTAAACTGCTATAAGATGGACATTCAGTGATTATAACATTAAAGATCTCTTTTAAGAATATTTTTCTTGAGTAGATGTGCTGCTTATGCTTGTCAATCCTAGCTACTCCAGAGGCTGAAGCAAAAGGATCAGAAGTTCAAGGCCAAGCCCTGATTCAAAATATAAAAATAAATAAATAAATGTATGTAGCTCAGTGTTCCCTGAATTCAGTCCCCAATAACACACACACACACACACACACACACACACACACACACACACACACACAAGACTACTCTACATTTCCTTAAAAACATCTAATAATACTATCCAACTTCCAGTTAATCTGTACTTCCTTTTCTTCCCTAACATTTTCTCTGAGTATCAGATAACTCTTTTTCTTCTTTACCTCTCACCACTCCTCAAATCTTCTTTTAAATTTCATTTATGTTTTAGGAAACTGTAAACATGATTATAAATGTAAATTTGAATTTCATTTCTTAGTATGTACTATGGAGGGATTTTTTAGAATTTTTAAAGTCAGTTAAAGAAGCCAATTTTATCTTATTTTTCTGGATAATCAATTTCTAGTCTATAGCCAACTAATTATCTCATGATAAAAGTCATATTTTAGAAAAAAATAAAAATGTACAATCAAGGAGAGAGGTGATGTTCTGTATTTAAATCATTAAGATGAAAAGGCAATCAGAAATTATGAAACTCAGTTTAACAGGAATCAAGAATGACAGAGTTTAGTACTGAGTTATAAATATTTATAAATAAATTATGGATGCCATAATAAAAATTTATTTCACTTTGCATTACTTCTTAAAGTCTGCTCAACTATTACCTGCATAAAAAGCCTTCCAGCTACAACTTTAAGGCCTATCTCAGCCCATGAATAGAAAAAGTTCCAAACCCAATCCTTGAAAAGCAGTCTTTGTAGAAGTAGTAGTGAAGAATGAATTGTTACATTTCATCCAAGCACATTTCTAAAAGATATTTTTATCATTTTATCTAATAACTTTCTGTTATGCAAAGTGGTTAGATAAATCTCCTTGTCTCAAGATTTTAACCAATATCTTTTTTCTGTTCCTTTATTAAATTTTATAAAGCTTTCTTTTTCAATCACTCTGTTCTTTTTAATATCATTTATTCCCCTTTTTTATTTTTATTACTATGTCCTGTATCCCTGTCAACATAGGAAAGCACAGAAAATCTAAAAAGATTTCTCTGATCTTCTTATAAAAGGCTGAAGGGCAAAGATTGCAAATACTGTACTTTTAATATGATGGTCTTATCACATGAGACCACTTGTATTCACAGAGGGTATGGATTCTGGCTTTGCCTTAACTGAAAAGTGTTTTGGAAAATAATTTACCAGTGGTGGTGATTCTTTTCCATAGCTTTAGCTAAGGAAGTTTAACATTAATTTTAAATTAGTGTTCTAAGAAACAAATGTTGTTATTCTATCTCACAGTGTCTGCCTTTATATAGAAAAGAAATTTGCAGCAAATACATCACAGCTTTCACTAGGTTCACCTTAACATTTCCAGGGTCAAAGTTCACAAAATAGAAGAAGCCCATATTACTTAATGTTTAATCAGAAAGTATTTTATTGCTTTTTAAATAAAGACTCTAAAAGGCACAGGAGCATAGTGGGTGAATTGGTGATATTCTTCCATCAGAATACCATATACTGAAGTCACTTAACTTCTCATTTTAATGATCAACATTTCCAAAATTTGTTTCAGATTTTGTAGTGTTCAACAAAGGCAGTATAAACTTTATTTAGTTCAGTTTAACAAACATCTATGGAATGCCTCCTACATGCATAAACTCTCACACGAAGATGAATTTGCACTAAGGCAATACTGTCGTCTTAATTAACTCTCAAGCTAAAAATTTAGATGTTTGAACCTGTTTGTAATTTTCAATGGTTGCCATATCTCTGGGGGTTGGCCCTTTCCATAGAATAAAAACAAGTGCTTAGGAAATGGTCCAGTGTGAATTATATTTACAATCACTTCCAGAAGGAAATATTTTGGACCTGAAATGTACATAAAATTCTTTACATACTTTGGCAAAGAGAAGCCTGTTTGCTAGATTCTCTAAGATATTCTCACTTATTAATAGTTAATCCTTGTCAAAAGTCACAAATATTTATTGTTCAGAGACAAGCCTTTTAGTTTACATATACACTCATACCTCAAAGATACCTTCAATTTAAAAAATCACTCATTTTTCAAAACCAATTCTGAAATTAAAATTTTGCCCAAGCTAATCACTAGGCTTGGTAATTGCAATGATAAATATAATCTTCAAGGGTTGCAGAAAGTTCTTTCAAATGTAATCCATTAACAAGGGAAAAAGATGACTACTCATGACTAGATCTAACATGTTCCTAAATGAAATGAAGGGAAAGAAAAATCTTACATTGCACAAAGTAAATATTCTCATCTTTCTCTTAATGTTCCCTTTAAAAGCTAAGCACTAAGCAGGTGTTTCAAGGATTTCTTAGGATAAAAACTAATTTCTTTTGTTCTAAGAGAATGTGACATGATATGTGAGAAAAAGATCAAAGGACACAGGAGAAAATAGATATCAAAATGAAGTTTTAGCTAATCTTTTTTGACTAATAGATTCAAATTATTTAGTCAAATTTTTATTAGAATATTTATGAAAATATTGAAAGGCTTAAGATTTTTGCTCTTAATTGAAATTTTTATTTAGTTGGCAATCTTTTTGGAGGATCTAAAATACATCAGAATATTTACCCTTGGCTTTCCATTGTGGACTGAAAATTAATGTATTTCTATATTAATGAAAAAAATTGAGAGAAAAGTTTTCAACTACAAAGGCAACATGCTACTAAATGAATAAACTTCACCTTTAAAAAAACTCTGACAATTATAAACTTTGTATCCCAATGATATTTTCTCATCAATTTTCTTAAATCTTTGTATTTTCCCATAGGATGCAAAGTTTTAAACAAAATGAAGAAAGGTTCTTGCTCAAATTTGTACACCTGCTAGACTCCCAGATCTCTACATCATTAAGGGGATTTTTTGATTTCTTCCTTTTAAAACAAAATCTCAAAGAAGAATTCCATGGTCATTAAATACAAGCAATTCATTATCAAAAACAAGTACATTAAAGAAGTATTATGTGACAGAATAGGATAAAAGATAGCTCTAAAATATAAATATGTGGTTTATACTTTTTTCTGAATTGCTGAGGATTGAATTCAGGACATTTTACATGCAAAGCAAGCCCTCCATCACTGAGCTACATCCCCAGGTTCAGGATTCCTACTTTTTTTTTTTTTTTTTTTTTTTTTTTTTTTTT